ACCTCCATTCCCTTAGGTATTGTAACATTATCGGCGTTTTGGACTAAAATACCCTTAATTTGTTTTTCAAAAATATCCTTATTCTGTCATTGAATAATAAAAATTATATGAAAGTTAAATTACAAATTTATCCTTAAACTATTTTAGATTTACAAAAAAAATCTATAATTAAAATTTTCTATGAAGTTAAGGGGTTAAAATAAAAATTTACCCTTTCATTAAACCTTTTTTATATTTTTAATTTTGTAAAAAAATATAAATTTTATGAATTTAAATTTTTTAAAGAAAATATATAAATATTTTTCAACTTGTAAGATTATACAAATATATAATAAGGATAATTTGGTCAAATATACATTCCAATAATCTTTTATTCCTTTAACCAAACACGATAATCTTACATTCCTGCTAAACTAACCAAACACAAAATACAACATTCCCATTAATCTTATTCCCTGGTAATTTTTTATTCCCACTGGTAATCTTACATTCCGTGAACCAAACGCACCCTTAGTGCTCACATGGTGATTTACCAGTTCTTATTTATGTTAATTTATTGAGATGCACATGTAGTGCTTATACTGTTATTCCTCAACCCTTTTATAATCTATTTGGTTGGTATACCCATTACCAATATAATGATACATTTTTCTTATTAGGAAATTCTTATGTTTATACACATATATTTTTGATACGAAAATTCATACACTTACTATATTGAAATTATTGCCATGATTCTTTCTATTCGTTTGTAACCTCCATTTATGTTTATAATACATCATTATGCATTTTAAGCTCTAACATCTTTTCTGTTGATAATGCACCCATATGCATTTTAACTATAGTATACTTTTATGTTGATAATGTACCCATATACATCTCAACCATAGTATACTTTTCTATTGATAATGTTCCCATATACATTTGAACTCCAGTATACTTTTCTGTTGATAATGCACCCATATACATTTCAACTCTAGTATACTTTTCTATTGATAATGCACCGATATGCATTTCAACTCGGGCATCCTTTCATGCCACTAATGCACCCATATGCATTATTCTGTTATGTTGATAATGTACCCATATACATCTCAACCATAGTATACTTTTCTATTGATAATGTACCCATATACATTTGAACTCCAGTATACTTTTCTGTTGATAATGCACCTATATGCATTTCATCTCTAGTATACTTTTCTGTTGATAATGCACCCATATGCATTTCAACTTGGGCATCATTTCATGCCACTAATGCACCCATATGCATTATTTTGTTATGCCGATAATGTATCCATATACATACAGCTAAGGCATCCTTTCATACCACTAATGCACCCATATGCATTATTCTTTTCTTCATTAGTTTTAGATCATTTCATACTTTAAAACTTACGAATAAAATTCTTTCCATACCTTAAATAAAACTTAGTAAATATTGTAAAACATACTTTACAATTTAAACATTTTAATTGTATTTATTTTATACAATGAATGCAATCACCTAATTTTCCTTGCTATGTATCCAAAACGTAAGGTTGATTGCTCCGGTATTTTGTGTTTACCCTTGATTTCGATCTATCCCACATTCATTACATACATGCATAATATCAATTGTTAGTGTATTTCCTAACAATTATAACCTAAACATTAATCAAAATACTTATTATTAACCTTTCTACAACAATATCAGCCCCAATTTAACATTTTTGGCCCTCTGGTATCGATACCCCTACTTATGGTATCGATACTACCCTATTAGGGTATCGATACCCCCCTCATGTATCGATATCAGAATTTGCTTCGATGTTTACTAGTATCGATACCCTTACCGTAGGTATCGATACCACTTCATTAGGTACCAATATTAATTGAATCAATATCGATACTTATCAGACGATTTAGCCTAATTTTTTCCTATGGTATCGTTACCACTTCATTAGGTACCGATACCTCTACCCAGATTTTCCAGTTTTTAACCCGAAATTTACCCAACTTTGGCCCATTTTTCCTTTCATTTTCCTTTAACAATACTATATAACACTTCTCTACTTAACCCTACTTCATTTCCTTCATTTAGACACTTAAAACATCCAATATCTCTCAAATGCATTTGATTCTAAGAATCACACCACAATTTCTAACTTGTTATTTCACTCAATCATTGTTTCTAATCTTTCATTTACCTTAATGACAAGTCAATTTTACCAGCAAACCTTCATATATTAACATATCATGATAAAAACCCATTTTCTAAAATCTCCCATATTTCTTTCATTTCATAGTTTTAACCTTCTTTAATCATTCATTAAGCTTACATATCACTTAATGTTACCAAAGCCACCCATAATTTAAAGAAAGAACTAGCTAATGGAAGTTTACCTTATACCATGGAGGAGAGCACCACTCACCTGAAGGAAAAAAAGAAGAGAAGAAATGCTTCACTTTCCTCTTTTTCCCTATTTAAAATCCCTAACTAGGATATATTTTTAAATTCATTTATCTTCTTAAAAGACCAAAATGCCCTCTTACTTTATCAAGTGATACACTTTAGTCTAAACATTATTACACATCATTCTCATCTTTGATTATTTACTCGAATACATCCTCATATCTTTAAATCCTTTCAATAAAGTCACTTATATGATATTTGGGGTATTACACCCTTCTAAGTTTATTGTCCATTTATTTTGGCCGCCATTTCAGATTGTGATATATGATAAAATGGATTTATTGCCTATAAGTCCCTAGAGTTCCACCATAGTTCTAGATTAGTTCTAACTTGGTCTAAAAAAATCATTTATTTGGTATCTATGCTTGTTTCAATTTATTAGGTATTACTATGGTATACGTGTTGTAAATATTTTATTAAAATGGTCAAATGCCTTTAGATTAAATAATAATGATCACTAATACACTCGTGTCCATTTTCAAGAACGAATTTTGTAGAATGGGCATGGAAAGTGTAAGCTATCGAGGTAGTACAATTCAATACAATGTTTGAACGAAAATGAACTTGGAAATAATCAAGTAGGCCTTAACAATAAAAATGAATAAATAATTGTTTAATTTTAATAATAATCATGTGTACGTTTTTAGCATATTGTTTAGTTTAATTTTTTATGTTATATTTGATTCATGCTTAATGTGAGACCCTAAATAGATAATAAAATGATTTTTTCTCATATAGGGAATAGATAGATGGGATAGCCTTCCCTTTGGAGGGTGTGCAAATCTCATGATTTCTTCTAAAAAAAATAGGGAATATTCATTATAGTTCGAAATGAATTAATTAATGAGCAATAAAATGTATCACAATATAATTTTTTATTTTAGTATTTTCAATTTCTATTACGACGATAATGTATAATCGACTAGGTACTAGTATTGGGTGTTATGGGGGTGCATCTCCTTCCCCATGCGTAACTGACTCTCGATCTCTTAAAAACGAATTTTAGGTTAACGCACTCTAATTTTTGTCTTTAGAATGCTTTTTTCTTAAAATTGTTTTAAAATATGTTTTTAGGTATTTGACCTATCTAACCCAAAGGTCGATGGACTCCGATCTGAGAACACTTCAATTTTTTAGAAACGGAATAAAAATCATTTTCATTTTAAAAAAAATGTTACGACATGACCACATCTCAATCAAATAAAAACGAAAGTGACCATATAAGATTTTTTTTTTAAATCAGTGAGGAAAAATGAACAAAACACAAACATAAAAGATCAATCATGTAGTTAACCCTTAAATTAAATAAATAATTTAAATTAATTGAATTTACAGTATTATTTTATCATTTAAAATTTATTTTTTAAAAATTTCAATTCAAATTTAAATATAATTATTTATAGTATTAATTGGTTCCAATTTAAAAGATTTTATCTAACAATGTACAATATATATATATATATTTCATACTCTTTTTATATATGTACATAAGATTTATAATATTATTTAATACATATATGATATAAAATTATATAATTTATTTATAATATTATTTTTTTATAGAAGATGTCTTAAAAGAAGAATATTGATAAGAGTATAAATGAGTTAATATATTGATGATAAGAAAGAATTTTATGAAAACGATAATAGATGTATTTAAAAAATGACTGATTTAGGTCAAGATATAAAACGACCATATAGAATAGGTTGATGCTGAAGTAAAGAGCATAAAGAAATTAGAATAAGCAAACAATCATTCATATTGCATTCATCTTTTTTCTCATCGAATTAGTTCTTCACGAAACTCATTCAAATCGATGAAAATTCATTTAAAAGTTTTGACGTTCTAATGCTTTGATCTCCTCTAACGATTATTCGATATGATTAATTTCTAGGTGTGTTATTTATATTCTCTAAAAAAAATTCTCATCATTTAGATTTTTGAACAAATCCCTCAAATATAAGAAAGTCCCAAAAAAATAGTACTAGGTTTCATGTGTTTAATATACAAAATTTAAAGAGATTTTGAGAAAAATCTAAATTAATAAAATGATAGAGAACGATGAGATAAATTCATCAATGTCTAAGGTGACTACTAACAACATAACACATTAATGAATGATGATTTCTGCCGAAGAGGATGATGAAATTAACTTTATATATATATATATATATATTGATTATCATTTTAAAACCTATCTATCACATCATTTGATTGTCAACAATTTAATAATATTGTGCCTTAATTGAAACATATACTAAAATTTAGAGTTAAAATTGAAGTAACTTAAATTTTAATACTAAAATTGATATACAATCTAAAATGTAGTGACTGATGATGTAGTTTACCCCAAAAATAAAAGTACTAAGACCATAGTTAGACCGCTTTAGAACGTGGATCTAGGATTCCACATTACCAAATGGAGCAGGCCTGAAGTTCTCAGCCCAGTCTGGTTTATGCCTTGGGGGTCCTGAATTTCATTTGTCCAATTTCATGGGTTAACAAATGGCCGCCAAGAAATCAACTCTTCTGGAAAGGCCGAGAACGGGAAAGGGCAATTGGAAAGCAAAAGATAAATGGCTGATTTGTTTATAGGAATATCGCAGTCGTCTCTTCTTCGCCTTCACACAAAGCTTGGACCATTTCAAAGGCAGCAACTCTTTAACAACTCCGGTTACCCCAGAGTTGCAGCGCCTAGCAATCGTCAGCTTCATTTCAAAGGGTTGACTTTGGCTGGCGTGGTATCTTCTGATTCAAAAGCACCCACGGCCGTTACCAGCAACGTCGGTTCCGAAAAAGGAGGGATCGACATTGCACTTGACGGGGGAAACGGCGGAGGGGACAAGTTTGACGACAGAAGCGGCGGAGGCGGTGGGGATAACAGCGGCGGAGGAGACGGTAGTGAGTGTAAAGGAGAAGGGGAGTTTCCGGAAGACGGCGGTGAGAGAAAGATGGCTTTGTCTATGTCCCAGAAGTTGACTCTTGGATATGCTGCTCTTGTTGGAGGTAAAATTCTTGACTTCCTTCGTTTAGTGGTGCTGACATTTGATTTGATTTGATTTTTGGGTAATTTAGGTTGAAATTTAAGCTTGGTAATAAAAAAAAGAATTTGGTGATAATTTTGCTATGGATATTGGAAACCGAAATGTGCAGATGTTTCATTTTGACCAAGGGGTCATTATGAGGGGCGAGTATTCTATCCAGTGGAGTAAAAGAAGTGAACCAATAGACTACAGTAATTTTATTTTATAATTCAAATTTTATTTGAAACTTTTTTTATTAGAGTTGAGTTTATTAAATTTGAATTGAGTTGATCAAGTTTATATTTAAATTTAAACTTAAATATATATAATTTTAGGATATTAATTGATTTTAATTTAAACATATTTCTATGACCATATATATATATATATATATATTCGTTTAAACTTTTTCATACATGATATAAAGATATCATATAGAGTTAAGAGACTTTACTAGAATTTGAAAATCAATTTACTAATTATTAAAAAATTTAAGTTATTTGAGTCTTATTTTTTGACGCAAACTTATTTTAATTTTATTTTTGGAGTGGAGTCAAGTATATTAAATTACGATTAAAGTTGAGTCTAGTTGAATCGAATCAAGATTGACAATTTCAGTTATTTCGAGTCGAGTCCAAGTTTTTCTCACCCCTAGTTCTTATTGTTTCTGTTAATGTGTGTGTAGTGGGTGGTGCTATGGGCTATATGAGGAGTGGCAGTCAGAAATCGCTTGCTGCGGGAGGATTGTCGGCAGCAGTGCTCTATTATGTTTATACTCAGCTTCCCACAAATCCAGTATTTGCCTCATCCATTGGGCTTGGTTAGTCATTCTCTCATTGTTTATGTTGTTGTCATTTTGATGTTGTGTCTATATGTTCCTATTTGGGGAGGAGGAGGATGTTCGATTCTATTCGGGTGGTGGATTGTTGTTGTCTCTCAAGCGGTGAGGTTTGAAGAGATGGGGCTTGCCACTTAGTTTCAAGCTTGTTATGAATGGCGAATTCCAATTTGCCCGTTTCGTTTCTTTTCAGTGTTGCATATGTGAAAAAGGAAAGGTGATAGGAGCGGAAGAGGAATGGATCGGTTTAGGTTTTATCGTGGACAAAAGTTCTTGTCCATGGTGGGATATTGTTTACACAACGAGTGAAGAGGTTAGAACTTAGAAGAAAGGGCCTGCCGGTTAGTGTTGAACTTGCCATAAGCTCTGAATTGCAATTTGCCCTTTAGTTGTTCTTTAGAGTGTTGAAAGGTGAGAAAGAGGAAGAAGAAGAGATTGTCGTTCGGTTTTATTGTTGTAAGAAAGACACCACTATAGTTCTTTCCAGCACGCACTTGTGTTTTTTAGAATGAACCTTAAGAGAACTATAAGAGGTTCTTCTAGTTGCTGACATTGTTAACCTTTACTTATAGGGAATAAGGATGTGAATCTTTAAAATTTCTCGTTCGAATGTTAATTATAGACATGAGACCTTTAATAGGATTTAGCTTCACCTTGTTTAACACTATTTACATTAATGATGTCTGGTTTGAAGGTATATCTGCTGCACTTTTGGGAGTGATGGGTTCCCGTTTCAAGAGGTCGGGAAAAGTCTTCCCTGCCGGTGTCGTATCGCTTGTGTCCCTTGTGATGATGGGGGGCTACCTACATGGCATCATGAGGAGTATGCACTAGTGTTGAGTAGTAGTCTTATGCTCAAGCCACATGGTGTTTTGGTACGCAGCTATATGTAATGCTTCGCTATGTCTTAACAGTTTTAGTGAACTGTTTTCTTTAGACCATTTCTTTTGAATTTGGATGCCTTTTACTTCTTCATGCCAATAAAAAGTAGTGCAAGTGTTTTCGGCTTTGAAAATTTGAGATTTTGTAACATTATGTTTAATGATATCACAAAGGTATCCGTAAGAAATACTCGGCTCAAGTTTGATCGAACAATATTGTTTGATGATTTATCTTCTTGTTTAATCCATTGTCTTAGGAATTAATTTATTCTGATTGGTGTAATTGAAAATTTTATGACGTCTTCTGAGATTAACGCAATCACCCAAAATAAAGAAACGAAAATCAAAATAATATCGTTTTCTAGAAAATAAAAAAGAATCGTCAGCAAACATTGTTATTTTAACATATACTTAATCTTTAGATTATAAATTAATTGAACACACAAAATTAATGCAAAAGGAAAATGAAAAGATGAAGATAAGTTTAGGTCAAATATTGAATATGAAAAATAGATTCAAGTTCGACAAATTTAATGATTAGTTTATAGTAATTTGATAAATTTATTGATTAATTTTTAATAATTTAATAAATTTAATAATGATGTTTGGCTGTTTGTTAAATTTTAAGGCTTAATACAAAATTTAGTGCCTAAACTCTACCTCAAAATATAATTAGATGCCTAAAGATTTTTTTGCTAAAAATAGGAGTATAATATTTTCTATATTATATTTTTGGTTGCCTACTATTATATATATTTTTTAATTTTTTTTAATAATATAAATATATTTTTTATTTAAAAAAAAAAAACCTCTCCTTCCCCATTTCCCTTCTCCCTCGTGTAGTCGTGTTCTCCTCCCCTACTCCCTACCCCCTACCCCATGTTCTCCTCCCCTGCAAACGGTTAAAAGTCACTGCCATGGCCAACTGCCATATCCAATCAAACGGCAGATTACCACGACAAAGAAATTTTTAGGATTGGAAACCTTAAAACAAAATCTTCCATTTATACTATTTTTAGGTGCTCGATCGGTTGTAAAAGAATAGGGGTTTTGGTCGTGGGTTGTTGGCCAGTCACACGTCGTTGGTGTTCGGTCAATTGACGGCTTTTGTGTCAGCCGGCTGTGGCAAAGTGATTAAAATTAAGATTTTAAAAGTTTTGTTTTTTTTAAGATTTGAAAACAAAATTTATTTTTAAATATATACATATATTTTATTTTTTTATTTCAAATAAAAATTCTCAAAATTACCAGAGCATGACATGTGTCACTTAACAAAGATTTTAATGGCGGTTAATGACCGGACACCTAAAAGTGTAGCGATAGAAATATTAGGCACTAGCGAAAAATTCTTTAAGTACCAAATCTTATTTCGAGGTATAATTTAAGTATTTATTTTTGTATTGAAGCCTAAATTTAATGATCATTTTATAATTTATAAAATTTTAATAACTAAAATGATAATTTCTACATAGTTCAACGACATGATGTAATTTAATCAATGGTAAATTATGCTACTAGTCTCCTTTGTGTTCGGTCTAACTGACTTTGTTCACCGGGTTTTTAATTAAGTGCGTTTGGTCTCTTATATTATCGGTCCATTTGTTTAAGTCTCTCGACCGTTAATTTCCATTAACTCATTAACAAATCTGAGTTGACAATTAAAAAATTCAAAATTTCAAAAACACCCCATGTCGTCTTCGTTTCTTTTTCGCTCTGGAGCAGGAGGAACAAAAGTGAGATTTTTCTTACTATCTTTAGTTTGCATATTTGAAGTCTAAAAATGGCAGTGTTACTGTAATAGTTAATGATACATAAACAAGTTCAAAACTATTTTTTTTGTAAATAAAACAACTAAATAACAGAAATAAAAACTGGTATACAATAATAAATTTTGTTCATAAAATAATAGGGTTTAGAAAGAATTATCAAGGATACATCAATTAGAGAAGCATATACCCGCTTGCACATTGTTGTAACCAACTTTCAGGTGGGCCCGGAATTGGGTTTCGACTTGAATTTAAAGTGTTGGAGCCTCCACCTATCATTTAAGATTATGTTGATTGGATACCTTAATTTACTATTTTACCTAATCTGCGTTTTACCAGAAATTTGTCGGATTCAGGAGTCGATTACAGTCAAGGAAAGATTAGCACCCTTGTAATGCCTTTTTGGTACTAATTTAATTTTTTGGTTGTCTTAATTACGAAAATTAAAAGTTAAATTAAAATTTGAAATTCGATCCGAATAACTTACCTTTGATCGATTAAAATTGTCTTAAAAAAGTCAAAAATAAAGTTAAATAATAAAATAAAACAAGATAAAAGAATAAATGCAAAGAAATAATATTAGGGTTAGAATAAAGTAAAAAATTAAATAAAAATTAACTCAATAAAAAAGAAATTTTAAATGAAAAGGATTAAATTGGAAATAATTAAAAATCAAGAATCAAATTGAATTAATTGAAAACTGCAGGAGAAAAATAAAAGTTAGTGGGTTAAATTATAAAAAAATTTAAAAAAAATAGGGACTAAAATGAATTAATTTAAAATTTCATAGAAAAATTACAACAAGTGATCAAAATGAATTACACATCAAAAGTGCAGCGACTGTGGAAATAATTTAACTATTTCATAATTGCACAATAATCCTCCCTATAAATAGCCCTAAAAACCCCAAAAAATATTTTTAACCCATTTCTAAAAATAAAACATTCACAACTCTCTCGAATTCTCTCCCACAAAATCAACCAGCCTATAGCCGGCCACCCTCCCGGCGAGACACCACCGCCCGGATCGCCACTCCAGCCACTTCCTTCGGTGGGCAGAAATCTAAAGGCCTGCCCCAAAGCTTCCTCTTAACGTCCCAGACCCAAAACCGACCTCCAAACGCTGAAACAACACCCCTATCAAAGTATATCTAAAAAAAACCTCCCGGTCTTACCTTTCTTCGACGTCGACTGACGGTTTTCTTCCTTTTCGAACCGAGACAAACGCTCGACCTTGATATCTTTTATATTTTTATTGTTTTTTCTTGTGATTTTCTTGATTGCCTTGTGATATTTGCTGCTCGATATTTCTGGTATTTCAATTTTTTTGTGTTGTTTTGATCTTTGTTGTTGAGTTCTTGGTGGATTTTCGATTTCTTGTTGTGTTTGGTTCGATGGCTTGGTGGGGTTTATATAACCCTCTGACAGTGGTGGTTTTCGAGCATCTCAGGGTATTTTCAAGTATTTTGGGGCTATTTCTTGGTTGTTCATGTTTGACCAGAGATCTCGGATGGTTCAGTCCGAGTTGCTCCTATATTCGGGGTTGTTTTTTGGTTATTTATGGTTCATGTTTAACCAAAAATCTCGGATGGTTTAGTCCGAGTTGCTTCAATCTTTGCATTTCAAACGTCCAAATCTCGATCGACTGGTAATCTTGTCAGCGCGTGATTCCAACGCGCTATCATCTGTAGCTCTCGAGCTTCTGGAACCTTCTCGGATTTGATCTTGGTTGTTGGATTGGTTAAAGATCTAAAGGTCCAGGATCGAGATTCTGGCTGTTGATCTCCATCCTGATCTAACGGCCCTTATTTGTGTGGCGTTGGACTTAATGATGAAACCCTAGTGGTCTGGGCTTGCTTCTTGAGCCTTTGATTTTCCACCGGGTCTGCTGGGTCAGGCTACCCGGTTGGGCTCCGTTTCTAGAATTGAATATTTGGACCCCTTTTATTGGACATGACTTGGACCTAAATAAAAGAAAACCAAAAAAATAATATTTGTAATAAATAAATAATATTATAAATAATATATAATATAATATAATATATATAATATAATATAATATATAATATAATATAATATAATAATATAATATAATATAATATAATATAATATAATATAATATAATATAATATAATATATATAATATATATAATATAATATAATATAATATAATATAATATAATATAATATAATATAATATAATATAATATAATATAATATAATATAATATAATATAATACGTGCTATATATTTATTTAAAATCTATAAAACATATGTTATATTTTCAAAAACTATATTATATGTTTTCAAAAATTATATATATTATATATTTTTTCAAAAACTGTTTTAAAAACTATATATGTGTTTTCAAAATATGTTTTCAAAACTATATTATATTCTTTTTTTAAAAAAAAAAAACTATCTATTATATGTTTTCAAAAACCATTTTTCAAAATATATATTATATGTTTTCAAAATTGTTTTTTAAAAGTATATATTATATGTTTTCAAAAATATATTCAAAAACGATAATATATATTATTATATATATTATCATATAAATAAGTCACTTGAAGTCCTAGACGAAAATGGGTGTCTACAGCTGCCCCTCTTTGCCTATTATTGTGTAACGAAATTAGGGCAAGGAAAAAAAGACACAAATTTTCATTCGGTGCAAATAGACTTGAAAGAAAGCCAATTCGTGTGAGGGTTGTCGATGTCTGAGTTTAAAATTTGATTCAATGTTGCCGTGGAATCTTTTATCAAATATCCTTCATTGCAGAGTTGAAATTCGACTTAAAAATAGAAGACGACTCCCTGTTGTTGAGTCGAATTATGGGTGGCTCATTCGTCGTAAAGTTGAGTCGATCTTGAGATGTTTTTTAAGACGGCATCCTTCATCATGAAGTTGAAATAGTGGTTGACCCCTTCTTCATGAAGTTGAGTTAATCGAGCATAATATCTTTCGTTGTGAAATTGAAATCTAGCTCGATGCCTAGATTAGACGATCAATCCTCATCGTCTACTTCTAGCCCAATACCCTTCGTCGTGAAGTTGGAATTTGACTAGATGACCTTAGTTGAGAGATAATTCCTTGTTGTTTCAGATGACTCCTTCGCAAGTTAAGTCGATCTATTGGGCACGATATCATTCGTCATGAAGTTGAAATCGTGGGTGACTCATTCGTCGTGAAATTGAGTCCAAATTGAATATATTGGTTTTGAGCCGGATATAATTCGTTGTGAAGTTGAAATCCAACTTGGATAAGCTGTAGTGTTCTTTGAGTTCAATATCATTCGTTGCAAAGTTGAAAATTGACTATGACAACAATCTGCAAAATCATGCATATATGCGATGCTCACAGATGCA